TTTTCATTTTGAACTTTTTAATTCCGAATAATATTCTTTCAGAAAAAACATGAGTACCCAAAATGAACATAGCATGCTTATTGTACCTGATACACCAACTGTGGATAACTTGGAGAATTTCGAGCCAGAATTCGAACCCGAGCCTGAAGAAAATAATGGGGCGTTCTACTTCCGGGGGTTTAGAGCTTTTCCTCAATCAAAGATTTCAGAAAGTAAGAAGAGAAGCCAGGTATTTTACTACAATGAAGAAGAATATTTACCAACTCATCCGAGTCACAATGTGATAATTGCTGAAAATGATGACTATGGATCAATAGCGACTATTAATCAGGATTTAATTATTGGGAAAGATATCCCATTTATGCCTTGTGACATAGAGGAATATAATGAGTATATAAATAATATCTCATACTATGTTTTACGACTTTATAGTTATCTTGTTAATGGCCAAAAAGCTGTAGTTACATTTTTCGGTATAAAAGTTTTTTTCGATATTCGTGTTCCCGATAACCAAAATATTGATATATTCGAAACTGAAATAAAAAATATTATTGCCAAAGGAAAAAATGGCGAAGGGGGAACTGTAGATATGACAGAACTCTAGACAGAACATATAAAGGCATTTCCTATTCGCGGTTATTACAAAAAAAAAAACCCTATATTCGTATTATTACAACTACTAGTAAACAAAAATCAATCGCTCTTAATATTATCCTAAAATATAATTCAGAAATTACATCATCTGATATAGATAAATCTAAGCTGGAAACCGCCTCAGATGATTTGAGCGCATATTACCGAAAAGTTGCTAGAGAATATGGGATTCCACTCTCTAGATTGATTTTATTAACTAATTACAAATATGCGAAGCATAGAGTCCCCGACTCATATAATAGCCATAGAATGCCTTATAGTGCCCGTTCACCTCTTTGTGAATATGCTTTTTATTTATCTGTTAATAATTTTCGCCATGTTGAGGATCCTGCAGTATTATATAGAACCTACCCTTCTCAGCTTATTACTCAAGACTGAGTATTAGTCCTTGCTTGGGACATTGAAACACATTCAACGTGTGGGTTAGAACACATGCTCTATGCAAGATATAAAGAAGATAACATATTTATGATTTGTATTACTGTTCATTGGAAAGATGATCCAAAGCCATTGAAACAAATCTGCCTTGTTGACGTTGAAAGTGCACAGGACCCAAATTGGATTACAATCGTGTG